GATTATTATTATTATTATTTCTTTTTTAGGCTGGAAATATTAAGCGTTTTGGCTTCCTCTCCTTCCCCCCCGCCCTTCCTTCAGCCAACTAACTCCACTTAGAACTGGTTAGAAACGTTTACTGTGAAGCTAACTTTGTTTTTATGAGAACAGGAGAAACTTTCTCTACTTTACAATGGAAGAAGACTGCCAAAGCTGGCTTGACAAGAGTCTCGTGAACGCACTGCTGGTTTGTACAAGAGCGGCCTCTGCTCGGGGGCTGGCTGCGACCTGAAACTGAAACAGGGGCAAAGAAACCTGCAAAAAACCCACAAAAAAAAATAAAAAACCAAGAAAACAAGGAAAAAAAAAAGACAAAACCATAAAACCAAGCACTTTACTGTATGTACCAGGTGACCTGATACAGCTGAATTGAAGTTTTCCTTTATAACAATTGTTGATTCCAGAATTTTGTATTCTGTTTTGTAAGAATTTAATAAAAATGCATTGACATCTATGGGGTGAGGCTGTGGTTGCTGGGGCTAGCACCATCCATCCCAAGGGCTCTTCCCAGGGTCCTCCTCCTGCGTCTCCACCGGCTCCATCCCAGTCCAGTGCTGGGCTCAGGCAGGGCTGGAGCTGGTTGGGATGCCAGGAATAGGGCTGGCAGTGGCTCAGGCCCTGACTCACTTTTCCCAGTGGGGCGGTGCGAGCTGCTGCAGCCCCACAGGGGCACTGCAGGGTCCCAGGGCAGCGCTGCTCCTGCCGCCCTTCCGAGCCAGCCGGGGCCCATTCCCAACCTACAGCCATCGGTGAGGGTGGGGAGGGGGAAACAAGCAGGAGGAAAGTGGGTGGTGGGATGGGAATGGGATAGGGGAAGCAGGAGGGACTGGTGATGAGGAGGAGAAGGGCTGCCTGAGCCCCCCTGTGCTTTCTCTGGTGGGTTGGGAAGATGCTGTTGAGGTTTTTTTTTTTCCTCTACTTTGATTTTTTAAGGTATTTTCTGGGCTGGTGAGTGAGTTTTCCAGTCCTGTGCCATGCTCATGGAGCTGTAACCCTGCGGATGCCATCGCTGTGGCTGCAGGCGACACCCTGCCTGGTGCAGTCCTGGCAGCTCCTGCTCCCTGGCACCCCCAGTTGTGAGGATGGGGCTGCTCCTGGCTCTGCACATGGATGAGTGCAGCTCTGAGCTGAGGAAGTCCCAAAGTGGCCAAGAAGTCCGCTTGATAAATGGTGCAGCTGCTTCCTGCAGCATCTGGATCTGCACAGGGTGGCTCTAGGAGTTTGGGCTGCTCCAGACCTTAAAGCTCACCCAGTTCCAGCCCCTGCCACGGGCAGGGACCCCTTCCACTGGAGCTTGCTCCAAGCCCCTGTGTCCAGCCTGCCCTTGAGCACTGCCAGGGATGGGGCAGCCACAGCTTCTCTGGGCACCCTGTGCCAGTGCCTCAGCACCCTCCCAGGGAAGAGCTTCTGCCTCAGAGCTCATCTCAGTCTCCCCTCGGGCAGGTTCAAGCCATTCCCCTTGGCCTGTCCCTACATCCCTTGTCCCAAGCCCCTCTCCAGGTTTCCTGCAGCCCCTTCAGGCACTGGAGCTGCTCTCAGGTCTCCCCTTCAGGAGCCTTCTCTTCTCCAGGCTGCCCCAGCCCAGCTCTCTCAGCCTGGCTCCAGAGCAGAGCTGCTCCAGCCCTCGCAGCATCTCCATGGCATCCTCTGGACTCGCTCCAACAGCCCCACGTCTCTCTTGTACCGTTGCTCCAAAGCTTGATCAGGACTGCAGGGGGGGGTCTCCTCAGAGCTGCTCCATCCAGTCTCCCCCAGCCTGTGTTTGTGCTTGGGATTGCCCTGACCCAGGGGCAGGACCTAGTACTGGCCTTGTTGAGCTTCCACCTCTCCAGGTTCCTGTCAAAGATGCTGTGTGGATCCAGTGTGTCAAAGGCAGCTTTGCTGCAGAGGATGGTTTAGTTTTGAATCTCTATCAAATCGCTTCTTATGGTCCCTCTTTCCCCTCACCCCTTGTCACACCACACCGAGAAAGCACCTGGTACTTGGAAACCATCTCAGGGCACGTGCAGAGAAGAGCAGCTCTGAAAATAACCTAGCACAGGGTTAAAATAACCTGCGCTGCTCTGGTGCTGGAGCATCAGCCCAAAATAGGCTCTCCTGCTGGGAGAAGGTGCTATAAATAAGTCCTTGTTGATTTGCATTGAAGAAAAGCCCCACAGCAGGAGCAGCAGTGATGCCACCCATGCCGGCCCGATGGCACCATGACAGTAAAGGGGCCACTGCAGAGCCACCAGGGTGGCCTGGTTGATGTAGCCGGTCAGTGGGGCTTCAGGTGACATGGTGGCTTCTTCTCCTGTGCTCAGGATTCTTCTGTTCTCAGGGGGAATGGCTTGAACCTGCCAGGGGGGAGACTGAGATGAGCTCTTAGGCAGAAGCTCTTCCCTGTGAGGGTGCTGAGGCGCTGGCACAGGGTGCCCAGAGAAGTTGTGGCTGCCCCATCCCTGGCAGTGTTCAAGGCCAGGTTGGACACAGGGGCTTGGAGCAAGCTGCTCCAGTGGAAGGGGTCCCTGCCCGTGGCAGGGGTTGGAGCTGGAGGAGCTTTAAGGTCCCATCAACTCAAACCAGGCTCGGATTCTATGAATTCCCATTAAGCCTCAGGCTTTGCACAGCGCAAGGAGTTGGATGCTGGGCACTCCCTGGCTGTACCAGGAACTCCGGTTGCCTGGCAAAGGTAGGGAGTGGCAAATAGAGATCCAAATGTTTGGGTACTCCTGATTGTACCAGCTCTTTTGGGCTGATCAGTCTTTCCCTGGCAATCTGGAACACAACTGTTGTGCAACTGGTGGAACCCACACGGAATTGAGGCCAGGGTGGAAATTCACTGCTGACTAAAGCCACACACCTTATGACCCTATAAAGAGTGGTCCCAAGATAGGACCTTTTGAGCTCTTTGTTTACCGGGGCTGTTAGTTCTGCTCAGTGATGCTCAACCCTTTGCCTGTCGAGGAGTGCTGAGAAAGCTGATGGTATCCTTTCACTGACTCCAGGGAATCTTTTTAACAGGATCCTTTATACATCATAGAATCAGAGATTAAAACTAGATCTAGCTGCACCTATGCTCCCTGAGGAGTTTAGAAAGTGAGGGGGCCCAATCTGAACCTCAGTACTCAACAGGAGGGTCTCCCTTACTCCGTGCCTCCAGCCTCTGCATCAGTCATCTTTAGCTCAATTTAACCTTGATGTTCCTCATGTAAGAATAGAGTGAACCTCGCCATCGAATTCTTAACTCATGCCTTTATAAATCATATAAGAACTGCTCTTGCTAATGGCTTTGATGGGCATTCTTTGAGTGACCCTAAAGCGCTCATCTTTTCACAACAGACCCAGGGGCAGCACTCCTGGACCTGAAGGAGCGGTGTCCACCTGCCCTGGGATGAGGCTCCAGGCCACCCCTGTCAGTAACCCAGTGTCCAGCCACCCACTCGGGTGCATGCAGCAGCCTTTAGCTCCCTCTAATGTTTCTGAAGCATCCGAACAGGACTGAGCAGGGAGCGGGCAGGTGGCCAGGTATCACTTTTGTGATGCTGAAAAGCATGGAAGCAGCTTGGCCAGCAAGGGGGTGTGAGTGTGTGACGTGCTAAGCAAACGGCATGAAAGACAAAAGGATGCAGCGTTTTTAACAGAGAATCCATCTGTATTTAATGCTCGGTTGTGACTAAGAAAGATTTCATGGGAAAAAGAGCTGCTCCTCTAAAGGCTTCTCCTCACTGCTGCAGGCACAGAGCAGATTCCAGAAGGCAGCGGCAGGACAGCCGGCTCTGAACTGCAGACCTGTGGCTGCAAGGATTTTCCCAACCTCCCCAAAGGGAAGCGTTAACGCAGCTTTAAGGACTGCAGCAGGAACCTGCCGGCACGTAAGGCAGCAGGGACAGGTATTTGATAACATGATAAAAAACCAGGCTGGAAGCTCTCCATCAATATCAGCGGCGTAGCACCACCGCTGCAATGAGCCACGGTGGCCATAGCGGCTGATGGCCGAGATCCCCGCGCTGTACAAGCGTCGGGAAGCTCTGAAGCGGTATCAAGAGCCTGTCTCCGTGTTCCAAACGATCGCACAAAGGCACAGAAAACAGGGGGCAGACAGGGCAGCTCCCCACTGAACGCGTTCGAACCGAGGCCATTTTGGACGCGCACGCACCTCCAGGAGCTGAACAGAGATCGGGGGAACGGAAAACAGGGAAAGGGGCAATGGAATTACCCCGAGGAGGGCAATTCCTGCGCCATTCCCCACCTCGCGCTGCCTGGGAGGCCGTCGGTGAGCACCCAGGGGTGCGTGACACCCGCAGCAGCGCTCGGGGCCCGGGCTCAGCAGCGGCCATAACCCCGCGCTGTGCGTTCCAAGGAGCTGCGAGGCACAAAGCAGGGTGTCCTGGGCATGGCGGAGGCCTGGGCGGCTGCTGCAGAGGACAGGCTGCTTTGTGAGAGCACGGAGGGAGCAACCTCCGTGTCCCCCTTCACCTCCCCATGGCCCAAACTTCCCTCACCACTGCCCCCCTTCATCCCCGTAAATCCCCACCGCCCCTCCATGAACCGTCCCCATAAACTGCTCCCTGGGCCTCCCCACCTTCATCCTCCCTGGAACGACTCCGCTCTCGGGAGGACCACTCATCCCCAGGGCAGCTCCTCGGGGATCGCCCCCCCTTGTCCTCCTCAGGGCACGGCTCCTTCCTCGCCCCTCGGGGATCGCCCCCCTTGTCCTCCTCAGGCTCCGCTCCCTAAGGGATCACCCCCTTCTCCTCCCTCCCTCCTCAGGGATCTTCCCCTCAGCCCCTCGCTCCCACAGGGATCCCCCCTTTCCCCTCAGCCCCTCTCCCCTCACGCCCCGCACCCCGGCGCGGCTCCGCCTGCTCCCGCCACCGCCCCCCGCCCTCTCCCCGCCCCGCTCCGCCGCTGTCGCCGCCGCTCCCCCCCCTCCCCTTCCCTTCCCCTCCCCTCCCCGGCCCGGCCGGCGGCGGCTCCGCTCTGTGCCCCATGCGCCGCTGCTGCCCCGCTCTCTGCATCAGCGCCGGCAGCCGCCCCGCCGCCGCCATCGCCATCGCCATCGCCGCCCCGCTCCCGCCCGCCGCCGCCGTGTCCCGCCCGCCGCTGCTGGTGCTGGTGCTGCTGCAGCGCCGCCCCGCGCCGCCCGCTCCTGCGCCTCCGCCGCACAAGATGGCGGCCGGTGGCAGCGGCGGGGGCCCCGGGGGCCTTTCCTCCTCCTGCCCGCAGCCGCCGCCGCCGCCGCCGGGCAACGGGGCCGCCGCCTCCGCCGCCGCCTGCACCAACGGCGCCCCCGCGTCGCCTCCCGGCCTCACCTACAACCAGTGCGGCGCTGCCAACCCGGCGGCCAGCGGCGGAGGCGCGGGGGGCCCCGCGGCGGCGGCGGCAGCGGGGGCGGCGGGGGCCGGCGGCGGCGGGGGGGCGGGCGGGCCCGGCGGGGCGCTGCAGCGGGAGCCCGTCTATAACTGGCAGGCGACGAAGCCGACGGTGCAGGAGCGCTTCGCCTTCCTCTTCAACAACGAGGTGCTCAGCGACGTGCACTTCCTGGTGGGGAAGGGCCGCGGCTCGCAGCGCATCCCCGCGCACAGGTGGGCCGCGGAGAGGACCCGCGGGCGGGGACCGGTGCGGGCAGCGGCGGGCTCCAGGGTCCGTGGCGGCCTGGGGAGGCCGTGCGGTGAAGCGCGGGCCCTGCGAGGTGGCCGGGGGTCCTGGGCCCCGGGGGCAGGCCGCGGGCTGGATGCGGGTGCTGGCGCGATGCGGTAGGAGGGTGCGGGGTTCGGGTGATCGGCTCCATTGGGGAAGGGGGAGCGGGGAACCGCACCCAAGTTTTATCCGCCCGGCGCCGGGGGATGCGGCCTCAGCGAGGCCCAGCTCCCCTCGCACCCCGCGGCGGGATGGAGGGAGGGAGGGAGCCGGGCTGCTGCGAGTCCGGAGCTGGGACCGTCCCGGTTTGCTCCCGCACATGCCGGGAGGTGCCTGTGCCCCGCGGCGTGCTCACCTCCCCGTGGTCAGCCGCCGTCACCTCACATCTCTGCCAGCCCTCGGGTCATGGTGCTGTGCATCCGCACGGTTACCGGCCCAGGTGATGGGTCTGGCGTTGGGCTGGAGCGTTTTCCATGGAGGGTAGGTGCGAGGGAAAACCCCAAATGCCTGGGACTCGCCTGGAAGCAGCCCTCGGTTGGGTGGGTAGGGAAGGAGAGGGGGAATAGTCTCCAAGACGGCGTGATTTGTGCTGACAGGAATAGGGATCGTTGGGAGTGCTGGGGGTGGAAAGGGAAGCAATCATTTGAGAAACCGAATTTCTGCCACAGCGTTTGCTTTTAAAAATAACCTTTATTGCGTCTTTTTTCTCTGTGTCTTGGGGCGTTAATCCTCTACTGTAAACCAGACACCAGGATGCTGGAAGAGCTGTATTGAGAATGACATCTGGGCGTGAGGGAACCAGTCGAGCTTGATGCTGAAGGCCGAGCTGCCATTTAAGAGTTTGCAGCCCTGAGCTGCGCACTGCCTGAGAAGCTGGGATTGCTTCCACCCGGATAATGCAAAACCCCTGTGGCCTGTGGATGCTTGGCTGCTTCTCGGGGCAGCTTTGGTGAATTGGTGCATGCCATTCACACCCCACAGCTCCGGGAAGTGCCTCCCGGGCTGCTCAGCTATGCCAACAGCAAATGCCAGAGCCTTGTGCTCAAAGCCAGGACCTGCTGTAACTGGGGGCAGGCTTGTTCGTGTGCTTAGAACTGGTGCTTGGCAAAGGGAGCCTTGCTCCAAACTGCTTCAGACGATTGCTTTTCTCCTGAGTGCCTGTGTTCCTGGAGGCTTCCCCTTCAGATTTCCCTTTTTCTCTTGCTTTCCGGTCAAAACTCTTGTTTTAGGCTGCTCTGAGTGCTTAGGGGGTCAGTTCTGCTATTTTATAACTTGAGGCTTATTTAGTGTTAGGGTAAGCTTGCTCCGGTGCTGAGAACTAAGCTTGGTGGAGGTGCGGAGGGGCAATGTTCAGCCCAGAAATAAATGGAAAATAAATTAAGCTTTTTCGGGGGGGAAAAGAAAAAAGGGGGGGGGGGGGGAAGGCAAGACAGAAAGGCCCAAAGTGAAATGCTGCTTAATTGCTTTGAAATCCATCTGTGCTCTGGGTGGTAAAGATAGATGTCGTGTCATCCCACTTACAGATCATATAGACTTTAGTAAAACTTGCCTAATTGATATTACAGTTGGGATACCCCGATGATTCAGGAAGTACAGTGGTTATTTCAGAGCTTAAAATAAACCCACCCAGACCCCTTCTGCTCGCAGCTCTCCCGCAGCAGCCTGACAGCGCAAGGTATTTTGCACTGGAGTGGGTTGGATGGGGCTTGGAGCAGCCTGGTGTAGTGGAAGGTGTCCTTGCCCATGGCAGGGGGTTGGAACTGGATGAGCTTTAAGGTCCCTTCACCCCAAACCATGTTTCTGAGTGTGACAGAGCTGTAGGTTCAGGTGGGTTTCTAAGAGAGTGCCAAGTTCAGCAGTTCTCCTGGTGTCTCTCATCCCTGTGCTAGAAGCAGCACCAGATATCTCACACAGCGACTAAGAGCGCTCGTTCTGTGTGTGAAAAGCCCTGTTTGTAGATAAATGGGGTAAGTGGTTGTGCTGGGTTCAGCTGAAGTTTCATCTATCCAAGCATCGGTCCTGTGAAGCATCTGAAGCCCTGAGATCTGATGTTTTCCACCTTTAGGAGGCTCCAGAGCCTGTGGAAGTTACTTGCCTACCCTGAAGGAAACTCAGTCTCTGGGCCTTGAGTTTGTTTCTTCTTGCTGCTGAGTCAGCCGTAGAGATGGAGCAGCCTTAAGGTCAAGGCTGGACTGAGGAGGCTGCCTCAGTGCAAGCATGGCCAAGGTCAGTGTGTAGATTAGGCTAAACATGAGGGAAGTTTGGGTTTTGTTCTGTCTTTTTTCCAGATTTGCTTCATTGAGAACATGGGAGAGTAGAAACATCTAAACCTCGTCTACCAGGAGCTGCATGGGTGTGATGGGTGTGAAACATGGCCCAGAAGGGAACAGGGGAAGCGTGTGGTGATGCATCCCTGTGTATTCTCCAGCCTGGGAGATCTGCAGCTTGGGCACGTTTTTGGCTGCTTGTTTCCAGGGGTCTCTTCTGAGCTCATCCTCTCTTTTCTTGGATGTGTACTGCTTGGCAGCCCCTCCACTGTTGTGTGCTGAGGTGTCCCACTGCACAGCTCCTGCGGCTGCGTGTGAAAGGCTTCTCCTGGGGGTTTTGAACCTGCTTCCTGCTCCTTTCACCTGGTGTCTCTTAAGTCCTTGTGCTGGAAGGATGCCGCCAGCAAACAATCATCATTCATTAGTTTCTCATCACCTATGGTTTCACCAAGCTCCAGCACATCACGTGTTGCTCTATTTGCCAGCTCTTCTGGAACAGGTATTTTAAGGTTTCTCCACAGTGGAGCAGATGGAGAAGGAAGGTGACATGCAGCAGTGGATAGTTACGGTTCTGGAGTGATTTATTTTATTATTAATACATCTTAGTGCCTAGAAAGGAAGCAGGACTGTTTGGTATACAGATAAACTGGGTGACAGATGGAGGTGCCAGGGTGAACAAGGAAGCAGTGAACACTGGTGAGTAGGAAGCTGTAAGTAGCAGAATAAAGGGCATTTTGTTGCTGACCTTCAAAAGCCTTTGGGGTCAACTTTGCATCCTCATGAAGACAAATCAAATTATTAACCTTATGGAAGTTCCTGTGACTTATTGCTGAAAATGCTGATTTTTGAAAGATTTAAGAAGATGCCATGAAGAGAGAGGGATTTTCTTGCATTGTGTTCCCTTGATGTTTTAAGAGAACTTCAGATTTGGAGTCCTGTGCATCTCTGTGCCACCTACTGGGATCCCTTTAGGGCTCAACAGTTGAAACAAAGTCAGACTGCCTTGTCCTCGAGTGAAATGGAAGCAAAAACTGTTGAGGTCCTTTTAAATGAATGCTCTTTTCAGAGAGCTGCTGAGAGCTGCTCATGGAGGCTGTGCACTGTGCTGGCTGTGAGAAGGGAAAATTCAGAGTGCAATTAATGTATGTTAATTTTTAGTAGCAGACAATGCCTGTGATTGTCTCGCCACCGTCACTGCTCCTGTAGGAACAAGGATTTTTCTTTCAACTAGCAATTCTGGTATTGTGAAGAAGGGGTTTTTATTTGTTCTGGGCATTTTTATGCACAACTCTTTGATAGAAATATGCATGTGTGTGTTTTCTGTAACCGCCCTGGTTTGTCCCTCGCTCTCTTAACCCATCAGAAACAACGCAACCCGGCTTGTCAGCCAGTCTGTCACAGCAAACAGGCCTGGCACATCCATGGTGCTTTGCTCCATTGTGTCCATGGAAGGCCTCCTCTGGATGGGAGAGGAGTGAAAAGGGAGAAAATGAAGAATTTAGTTGAAAAGGGAAATAAAAAAAGGCTCCTGTGTCATTTCCTGCTGCAGCCAAACCAAACTGAAATTCCCCTGCAGTGATGGCCTTTCCTTGGGGTCCAGTTGGAGGTTTCTGTCTTGAGCCTCTGTCCTGGACAGGTTTTTCCCCTGCAGTTCTTGATGCTTCTCCATTGAAGTCAGACTGCTGCGGTGAGGGCCCCTGAATTTTCCAGCTTCTTCCTTTTAATACTTGGTTGGAGAAGTGGTTGCAGGAATCGCTTTGGTAGCCTCGTCTCCTCTGCTGGCCCACACTGCTGAGCTGTGACCTTTGTGGCTGTCCTGAACTTCAAGGAGCTGCTTGATTGCAGACCCCAGAAACAAAGTGGCTTTATGGGGAAGAACTTGCCTCTGTGTTTTCAATCAATGGAAGGTCTCCAAATGGCTTTTCTGAACCATAAGGCAGGTACAGCAGCTTAAATACACACGGGCCTCTGAGCAGCCTGGTCTGTGCCTGTGCTGCTCCTAAAATAGGGGTTGGTGTTTATCAGCAGGGGAAATAATCTTGTTTACATGGGAGCACTGGGATATTCTTTTCGGTCTCAGACCTGGTTTGTGGGAATTCTTGCTTCCTGTTCCTGGCGGGCTGATAATGCCTCTTGCTGGTTACCAGCCAAACGCACAGCAGGGTTGGTGTGCACCTAACGGTGTTAGTTTACTTCGTGTGAGGTTTCCTCTGCCTTCTAGGCTCAGCCCGGAGCAGGGTTTGCATGGAAGCAGACAGCAGCGTGCCTGGGGAAGGCAGCCCCGGTGCTGGGTGCTGCAGGAGGTGCTGGTGTCCACAGCTCCCAGTGCCGTTGGCAGGGTTTGAGAGCTTGCTGTCGCCGAGGATGTCTTCCTTGTCCGGGGAGAAAGGAGAGGGATGGGTAGTGTGTAGTGACAAATTTTCCATCAGTGTTTTCACTCCGTAACTGGGGGGAATTGCACCAAGACTTGGGCCCTGTTCACTGGAAGAACTTGGATTCCTTAACTTCCTTGTGTTTCGTAGCTTCCCAACCTCACGAATGATCCGTAGGCTCTTAGAGGTGCTCTGCAAAGCAGCCACGTGTATTGTGTTCCATGACGCACAAACTCCTGTCTTCGGGGAGCCATTCCTGTGCTGCATGCAGGGACAGGGCTCAGGATGAAGTTGCAGCTTTGGTATTCTTGCAGCAAATGAACAGAAACCCTGACACTCCCTTCTGTTGCAAAACATCTTTGCTTTTAACGCTAGGAACGATTTGCTTTCCCTGAGGGTGGCCTTAGGGAATAGCAGCCAGCCTGGGATTTTGGGGGGGGAAGTGGATATGATTTAACATCAAGCTTTTTTGCCTGTTTTTTGATGATAGGTTTGTGCTGGCCGTGGGCAGCGCAGTCTTCGATGCGATGTTTAATGGTGGAATGGCCACGACTTCTACAGAGATTGAGCTGCCTGACGTGGAGCCTGCTGCCTTCCTCGCTCTGCTGAAGTAAGCTTCTAACATCTGGTATAACTGGAAGGAACAGATTTACTGTAGAAAAAGGCATTTTTAATGAAAGCAGTGGTCTCTTTTGTAGAACGGTGAGCGTTACGTTTCCAGATGAAATCCCTCTTTGTTGTTCTGCTCTAAGGTGTTTAAATGCTGCTGTTAAATCCCTCTTTTCCTGGGTGCTCTAGACTGAATAGCTACTGCAGATAAATACCTGACTTGCTCCATGGTTTGGCTTAGCAATAGTGAAATGAATATGTCCTCCTGCCCTTGATCTGCAGTATGGAAAGACTAAACTATAAGTATATAATTGTGTGAATATATAGTTATATATAGTTGCACCACGCAGGTGCAGCAATAGGGAGGTGTTCTGGTTAGCCAGTGCACATGCTGGCCCTTGCAGTTAAGCTGTTCAGGCATTCTCTTAAACTCTCCTTCATGCATTGGTTTGATGTGATCCAAATGCTGTTTGAGAGAAGTGGGGAAAAGTATTCCTCTTAAAACTCTTTAAGTTGCCAATACTGGGAGATCATTTAGGTTATGGGCAAATGAGCAAGTTATAAAAGGTAAGTAAGGGGATGGAATCAGTGTCGGCCACTCTGTGTGGTATCTCCCCTTTTGTGTGTTTTACTCCTCTTTTGAAGAGCTGGTTTTGAATTTACATTTACAGCCTGTGTTGTCAGTCCTCGTGCTGGGGGCAGGAGGAGGAAGGGGCCATAACATCCTATTCAGCGATTTCTTTAAGCTCTGCTGGTGCTCTATAACATCCCACAGCGATCCTGAATGTGTGCTGAAAAGTCATTGTCCCCTCTCTACAGGATTTCTGTAACCTACTTCCAGGGGTTTCCAATCCTGTGTGCTCTTGACATGTTCCCCTCTCGCTTCCTCTTGGGAGCACTGACTATATATAGCTTTGGCACGCTTTTTGCTTTACCTTCAGGAAGCGCTTTGGTCATGACTGTGCTAGCTTAGAAGATGTAAAAATTGATCTTCTCCAGGATGAAAAGGCAGAAATAGTAGGGAGCCCCCTCCTCTTTGGCTCGTTTTCAACCAGACACCAGCACTTGGGGAATCCCTGTAATTGGTATCTGACTCTCTACCAGCCAGGTAGATCTCAGGAGTGCAGAGTTAGCATCTAGCTTTAAAACTTAGGCTAAAATATCGAGTGAATTTGAGGCAGTCATGGTGTTTCCCTGCCAGTGCTGAGTTTTCAGCACTTGGATAAGCAGTGTGATCTTGGAAGAGATCTGTTTTACGTAGTGAAGCACCTGAGAAGATGAAAATGGTGCATTTGGGTGGATTTCAGCAGAAATGTTTCTATTTTGTACAAGAGAAAATGTGTGTGGATTATCACAGTGCCTCTAAAGCTTGCAGTCATGCAAGTAGTCATGCTGCAGTAGCTGTGCACATGGTCCAGTGATATACTGGATGCTTAAATCTGGAATCAAGCTGTCACTTTTAAAATGCTCAAAGCTTAAATGTGCCAAAGGAAGTTTGGGTGCTGCGTTCCAGTAGGAAGCATACCAAGTACATGGTATGAACTTTTCCCAGAGTGAAAACAGTCTCACTGATCTGAAATGGCAGCTGATCCTTACATATGTCTCTGGACTTGGTCCAAGCCATGGCCTAGTGCTGTAGGATTAGGAGCTCATCAAGGGACAAAGTGCCCATCCTGAATGGTCAGCAGAAGGTCCCTTCTGGGCACTAGATTGTCGTTGTGTTGGTGGGCTTTAAGAGGTCTGCTGAATTTGTGCAGGAGATGCTTTTTTTTGTTCTTATTTTCATAACCCAAAGAATAGTTTTGATTCCCTGGGGTTATAATCCAGATCTTCTTTTAAATTGATACTGCATTTTCCCACAGTTTGAGCCTCTCCTGCTATCCCTCAGGACACGCTGTTTGCACTGTCGTAAAAATCAACACTGACATAGTCACTGCAGTAAATAGAAGTGGTTGTTTTACAGCAACTGTGTCCTTTTTAGTCCTGTAATAAACAGGATTACTTGGTGAAAACAGGACTGGCGAAAGGGATGTATGCAGGGTACATTCATGAGCCTGTGATTGATGCTGTTATTAACAGATGCTCTGGAGCAGCACAAAAGCTGCTTTCAGCAGCAATGAGAGCACTTCCCTGCCTCTGCATCCCCCTGTTTATGCTTCCCTGAATTGCATCCTGGCCCTCTGTAGCTAGGAGACCAGGAGCTCCACTGCTGCTCTGCAGCAAGTCCCTCCAGACAGGAACACTGCCTGGCATCCTCATGGAAGAGCCCTTCTGCTGCCTGAAGCCTCCAGGAACAGCAGCTGCTCACTGTGTTGCTGTGCCCCCTTCAGAGGAATCTAGGAGGAGACATGGCAGGGATTTCCAAAATATCCCGTGGAATAGGAATGCCAAGCATAGCTAACACACTGTGCTTCCTGCCTTTCAGATCCTGATTGGCAAATGCTTGACTGGTTAGAGGAAAAACACTAAACAAAAACTCTGCATGGGAGTGGGACTGACATCAAGTGTGTAACTGCTTTTACTGAACCCAGCCTGTCAGGTCCTGTTGTCTCTCATCAGCATGCTTGGGTATGAGGAGGCTTGCTCAGGCTTCCTATGAAGACCTTTGTTTTTCCATGCAGTATGAATGTACTTCCTTGTTTTGACCTAACGGGAGAAGGCCGATGCTTTGCTTTCAGCGTGGCCGTCCTTGTGTTTGCATTGCAGTTAACTCTTGCTTTATGCTGAAGTTTGATGGCATGCTGTACGTGAACATCTGGATAATGAAATGGAGCAGTTCACAATAAAGTGAGGGGATGAGAAAGTGGGGCATGGAGAAGACACCTCATTGGCAGTGAATGTCTGGGTGCTTTTGATCATTGTTGAATTAGTATGTAAACCAGCTTGTCTCCTCAAGCAGGCAGGATTGAATTTTTGTCCTGTTTAGTCTAAATGAACAGCCAAACCCATTAATTTTAAGGGGGATGCTTGGCCAGAGGCTGTTCTGGCCTAGCCTGAGTGGCAGGCTAAGCAGCTTGCTGGCTGTGGGATGCTGGACAGTCCAAGATGCTGCAGCAGATCCCCCAGCTATTCATTCATTGAAAGTTACACTGGAAAGGGTGTTTATTTAAAACAGAAAGCTTCTCCTTGGTAAAGCAGAGTCAGTGGAAAGGCTGTGAGAACACTTCCATCTCTCAAGTGCAGGAAACGGGGTCAGGATGATGGGCAGAAGCACAAACATGCTGTTTATGAATTGCAAGGCGTTTTTACCCTGTTATCTTCTTGGCTTCACCAGAGCAATGTTTGTTTGAATGTTTTCAGATTTCTTTATTCAGACGAAGTTCAGATCGGACCAGAGACTGTTATGACAACGCTTTACACAGCTAAAAAATATGCAGTTCCAGCCCTGGAAGCTCACTGTGTGGAGTTCCTTAAAAAAAACCTCCGTGCAGACAACGCATTTATGCTGTTAACACAGGTGAGTGTGAGCCCCTTGAGCAGGGTCCATCCCTATAAGAGACCAGAGCTTTTGTAAGTGTTACGGAGATGAGGATTCAAAATGGAGCAGTTCTGTGTCCTTCTGAAGTCTTCCTTATGGGTTTTCAGTGCTGATGGGCAGGTTCTTACAAAGAACAATAAAATACAGCAAATGCCACTGCTGTTTCAGATCTGCTTTCTGTTTCGGTGTGGCAGGCAATTCCTTCCAGAGTGTGAGCTGGGGAAGAAATGAACAGGGTGGAAATCTTTCATCTGCCAAGAAGAAAAGTGGAATGAGAGGATGTTCATGTGTTCAGATTCGGGACTGGTGTTGATAAGCTTTCTCTGTGCAAAGCTTGCTGCATCTAGCTGGTCAGACAGTCTTAAAGGGCTTTTTTGCAATAGTTTCCTTGAAATGGGGGTGAAAGAAAATTAACTTCATGAGTGCTTTGGGTTATTTTCTTAGGAGAGGAGCAAAGTGATTTCTTCCTCAGCCTGTTCCAGCTCACCCTTCTGCCTTACTGAAGGCATGCAGACCTGGGGTTTCAGTGCAGCTGTGGTTTTTGGCCTTTTTATGAGGCCAGTTGCACATCCTTGCCTGTGATGGTCCAGTCTGTGAGTGCAGGACTCCTCCACCTTCTGTTCGACTTCTTTAAGCAGCAAAGTACATGCCAGTGTTTATTACTTCTTATTTTGGAGAAGATCAGACTTTGCATGCAGGTTGATTACATTTGCATCACTACCCTGCCCTTTTCCAAACCCCTCTTTTCTTTCTGATCCCTGCCACCCTCTCTGCTGGCAGCTGATGATGTACCACAGTGCTGTCACCGGTGTGTTGCGGTGCTTTAGCATTGCCAGGGACACCCCGTTCTGGGTGGTGTAGGAATGAGAAGCAAATCGGCCTTGTGTGTGTGGCTTTCATTCCTTTAGGAAATAGGGACTAGGTCTGGAGGATCTGCCAGCTCAGGAAAGCTGCCCTGATCTCTGATGTTAAACCTGGCAGAGTTTTCACAGCTGCCCTGACTTGGGGACCAGGGCACTCGGGTGGTCTGGCTCTGAAGCGGCGTCTTGCCTAGCCCAGCATACGTGTCTGCTGGCTTTTATCCTCCTCATCAACAGTACAAGCATCTTTCAGGCTCTGACTGTAGTTACTGCATCGGTGGCAGTGCCTCACAGAACCTGAAGCAGTGGTGGCCTGAAGCAGTCGCTGCTGAGCTCTTCGCTTGTTTGCTGCCATAAGGCTGGGATTTTATTTGACTTGAAGTACTAGGATCAAGTCCTCAAAGTAGTTCCACGTTACACTGCACCATGTCTTGGCGCTCCAGGAGGATATGAAGTGGTAGTGCAGTCGTTACGTGACTGCACTTGAGTTGGGTAGAGAGATTCTGAGCAACTCTCCAAGCTGTGTGCAGGCTTTGTTTGGAATAGTAACCTGTTCTGGGGGGAATTCTTTAAGGTAACCAGATGAGGGTAGCTGTTCCTGTGCAAAACGTTCCAATGCACAGAGCAGGCTGTGTGCCCCGTGGGGTTTTGCACATCTCCCTTGGATACAAACAATGTGCCTGTTAATGCATGAGACCAGTGTGACCATGTCCTTACAGAATAAGCTGTCTCTGCATGTTCCTAGAGGGAGCATGCCTGGAGTCCCTGGGCAAAGCTTTCTTCTAAATATAAAAAATGATATAGTAAGAGCTACCCATGCTCAGCTGCCATGGTCAGTATGGTGCTAGAAAGCACTTTAGCTGCCTTAACTGCTGTGATGTTAGAAGAAAGACGTGCCTGAAGACCTGCACAGCTAAACCAGAACTGATGCCAAACACAGCTTTATCTGGTGTTTGCTGTGTCATGTTTAACTGCTTGTGAAAGACAGCTGCAGGCCAGTGAATTCCTGATGCAGTCAGGCATGGTATTGCTAATGAAGACAGGTTCTGGGAGAGAAGGGGGGGTCCTTACTTCGTGTAAACTTTAAAATACCTTTTGTGATAATGACTGCTTCTTCATTACTAGGCAAGACTCTTTGATGAGCCTCAGCTGGCCAGCCTTTGCCTGGAGAACATAGACAAGAACACGTCGGATGCCATCAATGCGGAGGGGTTTACAGACATTGATCTGGGTAAGCTTTTCTCCCTCCTCCCTTTACATGCTTTCCTCTCAAGTTATTACAGGCTAATACTTGGCTCTTCTCTTTTGTGGCTTTGCTGTTCTGGAGCAATCTGTTGAAGGAACAGTCTCTGGCACTAAGTGGCTCAAGACAAGGCGTTTGCAAAAGAGCATGCTGGCTTGCAGAAATATCCTGGGATCTGCTTGCTTTGGTGCAGCTTGAGTTTCTGGGCACGATACAAAGCCCATTTCCTCTGTTGATGTTGGCAGGTTTGGGGTGGGTGTAACTCACCTTCTTTTGTGGAGTTGGCATTGCTCCCTGAGTCAGGTTTTGGAGCTAAAAGGGTGTTGAGTTTTTGGAAGCAAGAACTGGCTATTTTAATGATCACATGCAGTTTCCAGACTTGCTGGGCACCCTGAATAAACATTAAAATGTAGACTTTAACCCTCTTTAATGAGATGGACTTTGGAGGGTAACCTTCTGGCTTTCATGCTGCTCGCTTCATCCAGATTTGATGTCAAGTGAGTTGCAGTTCATTCTACTGCACTTCCATTAATATGCCAATGAAATGAACACTGTTTGCTGCTCCAGCGAGTTACTTGCTTATGGAATATGCAGATAAATCTTCCTCAGAGGTTTTTTAGTTGCGTCTCTTCTACTTACCTCGGCTGTACCTAGGGTAACTGTGGCTAGGTCGAAAGGGGTGATTTGGGATGGTGCCTGAAGTTGTCCCTGTCTGTCCTGCCTTGCAGACACCCTGGTTGCGGTGCTGGAGAGGGATACCCTGGGGATCCGGGAGGTTCGTTTGTTTAACGCAGTGGTTCGCTGGTCGGAGGCCGAGTGTCAACGGCAGCAGCTTCAGGTGATGCCAGAGAACAAGCGGAAAGTTCTGGGCAAAGCACTTTCTCTTATCCGCTTCCCATTGATGACTATTGAGGAGTTTGCAGCAGGTAACTGAACAAAGGTGTTTCTGGCAACCCTGGTCTTTGCTTTCTGTGAGCTGCAGAGTCAGATACATGACAGTGGCTTTTCTCTGTGTGTCCTGAAATCATTTGAGGTTGTCCCCATTCCCACTGATCCTCTAAATCACCTGTGTAAATGCTGTTTGCATCCATGCTCATTCACCCTTGTTTTAAAGACTGCTGTTCCATCAGCGAGGAGCAGGTCAGATTATAGCTGGCTTTGGGCTCACTGTATGTTTTTATGTGGTTACTTTCTTATTCATCCCAGAGCAAAGATCTGAATGCGTTCAGGTGCTTTCCCTTGTAACCGTTCCAAGCATTTAAACTACACAAAGCTAATGGAGTTGCAAATAATTGGTGTTGGTTGTAGCATGCTCCCAAAGAGAAATGAGGCTGTTTCTCCCCATCCTCTGTCTGCTGCCACCTGTAGTCCAAGGGTGGTTGGCCTCATCTTGCTGCTGCTGTTCAGAGAAGAGTCCCATAACAGAAAGAACTCCCAAAATGTTCTTTGAGCTGCAGGTGTTCTTCAGTCTGTTAGCAGCTTGCTCCAAGCCCCTGTGTCCAACCTGGCCTTGAACACTGCCAGGGATGGGGCAGCCACAGCTTCTCTGGGCACCCTGTGCCTCAGCACCCTCACAGGGAAGAGCTTCTGCTTAAGAGCTCATCTCAATCTCCCGTATCTTATGGGAGGAACCTGTTAATTTGGGCATATTTGGGTTGATGCCTTTGAGCTGGAAATGTCAGTACCCCTCCCCATGCTGTCAGTTCAGCTTGGATCTTTGGTTAGTCCTCTTGCTTTGAGGAGGTTTTCTCCACTTCAACCTAAAAAAGATGAGCAAAAGAAACCCCAAACCTGCGAGGCTGCGCCGGTCAGCTCTTCCTTCAACAAGGGACTGCCTTGGAATTGCTTCAGCTTTCCCCTTTTGCTGAGTGACTCTGAAAAGAAGAAGGATTTTTCCAGGCAGTGGTTTCACCGCTTCGTTGTGTAGCCTGGAACTGAACATGGAGTTTTGCATGGGGATGTTTTAACTGGCAAATGTGTTGCTCCCTTCCCTCGGAGCAAGTAATTTGAACCATTTGAGGGTTGAATCCCAGCACCGCAGGATGAGTTTAGACACGATCAATGAGGGCTCATTTTTGCTGAGCAAAGGATCCATAAGCTCATTTATCTGTTAACAGTCGACTTCCTGAAATCCTTTCATCTCTACCTATTGCAGCCTTGGGCCACATTATGTCTGCATAACATGTGCTGAAAGTTTTGGACCAACCAGTAGGCAGGCATTGGCTTCCCACATTAAAGAGCCCTTAATGCTATTGTTTCTCCAGTATGCAGCAGCTTCTGTTAAAAGCCTCTTGCAAACAGAGGTGCAGAGCAGCTTTTGACTCTTCTGCTGAGGGCTGATTTTTTAGCTGGTTCCACTTTTGAAAGTCTTTGAAGTAGTTTCCAAAGCTTGAATTTAGCATCACTTTGGAAAAAACCCATCTGGTTCCTGGCAAAAAAAGATGAGAATGCTTTTCAGTTCTTGCTGAAGTCACTAGCATTTCCCCCTAGATTCTACAATAAGGATATCATTTCTAAACCAACACAAAGCAGGGTTTAAATGCCCAAGGGAAGGAGGGAATCGGAGTGGGGTGTGAGCTGAACCACCTTTATCTTGACTGAAAAGCACTTGATGGTGACGTTTCCTCCCACTTCCCCTCGTGGGCTTTCATGATGTCTTATCAGTAATGTTATAAAATACCCGTGTAGATGTATGAAAACCCCTGTCTCCCCAGCATTACCATCTCCTGAGGGAGTGCGGGAAGGATTAGCTGCCTGCTTCAGGTTTTTACATCAGTCCTCTTAGCCAAATGCAGTTCAGCTCTGCAGAGCTGCGCCTTGAGTCTGTGTCAGGAACGTGCCCGTGCAGGGACTCTGCAGCCCATAAAACTCAGCAGCACTTTTCTGTCTGGGGTTGAACTTCCCGACACAGCACCGAGATCCCGTGTGCGGTGCTGGCGTGACCCGCTCTTAACTGCAAGTCACGTCTGCCTCTCCATGTAAATCCCCAAAGGCTCCCTTCTGGTTTCTGACCGTCTCCCTGCTTCCACGCTCCTTTGCAGGGCCTGCCCAGTCGGGAATCCTCACGGACCGGGAAGTGGTGAGCCTGTTCCTCCACTTCACAGTGAACCCAAAGCCCCGGGTGGAGTTCATCGACCGGCCGCGCTGCTGCCTGCGGGGGAAGGAGTGCAGCATCAGCCGTTTCCAGCAGGTGGAGAGCCGCTGGGGGTACAGTGGGACTAGTGACAGGATAAGGTCAGCTTCTCTGCTCATTCTGCTGCTGATAGATTCGTGTTTACTGAGCTTTGAGCCTGCTTTAGCCCTAAAACCCGCAAGGTTACGTGCGCGACCTTGACTTCCACCATATAAACCCTGTAGGGAAAGCGTTGCTGGGCAAAAGCATCTCCTGATGCATTAACCTGCATGTGCAGCTGCAGGCTGCCACTTGGCTTCCGTATTGGCAAAGGTTTCCATAAAATGTGGCAGCACAGGACTCTTGGGGGGTGATTTCTCTCCTTTTCAAGTGGCTTCCTGCAGCTGCATGGGCACGTAGTGGTTGGAGTCACCACGCAGCTTGTGGCTTCCTCCTGCGCCTGAGTATGTCAACTAACCAGTGCTCCATCAGGTTGTAAGTGTAAACATGGCTTGTTGAAGCCCCTTAATCTTGCCTATTTGAGGGAGGGATGAGGGTAAAATGCTTGCTGTGCCTGCTTTTCTGCTAATACCTAGTTTGTGTAGACCTAAGCTCATAGAGAAACAGCAAAGCCCGGTCATGATGACAAGAGACGTGGAGGTGTGGTGTGGGAAATGGAGGCCTGCAGGCCTTGTGTGGCCAGGTGGTTAGAGCAAGACTGGAGGTAATCAGCCTGGGCTATTTCCTGATTCATCTTTGTCTTAGGTAGAAGGGGAACTTGCTTTAATATGGTCTTTAAGATTTATAAGCCTTTTTCATCAGTGGTTCTCGTGCACATCAATACAGCTGTTGGTTGGATCTTCTGATCCCTTCATCCCTTTATGGGACATAGTAATTGGAAGAGCTGCTACCTCCAAAGACTTACTGCTCTCAGATCTAATGCTCAGAGACCTTTTGGAGCTTGTACTCGACTCTGATTTCAACTGCTGTTAGCACCAGGGTCAGTCTTCAGCAAGGCTTGTGTGCTGTGTCAGCGCTGAATAGCTCACGCCGGTTGCAGAGCAGTGGCTTCTGGCCTGCTGCAGTTTGGTCTTGAAACATGCAGGACTAAAAGAGTTGGTGGCTGGGTGAAGAAATTGTGTTGGCTGTTTGGCAGGCGCTGAGGCTTTCTGCTGCCTGAGAAGATGGAGCTGTAGTAGGGCATTGGGTTGAATATCCTTCCCTTTGCTGCCTTAGGCAGGAGGGATTCCTGCATTCAGGAGCTATTGAATCTTATTTTCTACTCTCTAATCTTGAGTGCAGCTATATGCAGCAAATAGAAGCACATTAACAATTCTCTTCCAGTGCTCAGCAGTGAAGTATCTAATGACACTTCATACGGTCTTTGCTGTTACCTTGCTGGAAAGCCTGCTGTTACTGTGAGGGCTCCACACTGCAGGGCACCCTGCCTCTGCCTGCCTGGGGCTTTTGGATGCTGATGTTGAACCACAACCTTGACATGCTTTCTGAGCCTGGACTGTGGAGTCAGCGATGGGATTGTGCACCTTCGTGTCGTACATGAGCAAACAAAATTGCTGCCAGCCCATTAGGGCAGTCAGAGGTGTGAGCTTGCAGGTTGTGGTTTCTGGAGAGGATTTTGGGTATTAGGAAGAGTTGCACTTTAAACTGTAGCATGTTTGATACGTGTGCATCATCCTTGTACAAAACCGGTGCAGGAGCAGCAGTTGGTCTGACTTCCCTGCTCTGTTCCTGCAGGTTCTCTGTAAACAAAAGGATATTTGTAGTTGGGTTTGGATTATACGGATCCATACATGGGCCAACGGATTACCAAGTAAATATACAGGTAATGCTCTCTTCTCTGCTGGAGGGACTCATTTACACTTTCTAGTGCATATGCAGCATCTTGTCTTTGTTTCCTAGATTGGGTGGCTGGCAGATGTAGTGAGGGCCAGCTGGGGCACTGGGGATAAGAGGGATTATTGCTCTCCATGTTACAGCCTTCCCTTGCATGCGTCACTGCAGCATCTCCCCAAGCCCGCTTGCTGTCCTTTGAACATACATCTCTGAGAGCTGTGACACGAGCTCAGAAGCAGCTCTGTGTGCTTTCCCACACTGAGCAGGCCAGGCCAAGCCTGCCCTGCAGGTGCTGCAGCAGAGCTGGGTGCTGCAATAGTCCTTGGACTGTCTTTTGGTCTGAGCTGTACACATTGAGTGGAGCAGCTACAAGTCAACAAGGGAAGAGAAGGAAGCAATTGCTATGTCTGTGCTGGGCCTGTGCAGTGCTGACAAGCAGCCTTATGTCATCAGCATCCTGTTTGGGATGCTGAGTAGGACTGAGAGGGACTCGGTTCTCCAAAGTCCATCATGGTCTTGTTCAAAGACTGGGGCAGCTTATCTTGTGTGCCTTGACCTGGATGTGCATCCGTGACCCCAGTCTGGATCACTGGAGAAGAACGGCCTCCAGGGAAGTTATCCCAGCACAGCAAGGCTGATGTGCTGACACACTGGGCTTGTTAACTTTTATTTGATAGTCAGGGTCTCATTCTGGTGCCCCTTGAGCTTTTGGAGAAGCAAAGCAAGGGAAGATCTAAGCCCAGAATGTCAGCCTGTAGTCCTCGGGGAGGCTTCGGGGTAAGGAGAGATTGTCTTGTGCTGTCTGGGGCTGGTCAGACTGTTGAACCCCTCAGATTCAGTCCTGTTCAGGGCAGCACACCTGCACTGGTGCAGGGCAGCATTCAACTCACTGCAGATTAAAGGTTAACACATGTCTTACAGATCATCCACACTGACAGCAACACGGTGCTGGGGCAGAACGACACGGGGTTCAGCTGTGATGGATCATCAAACACCTTCCGGGTCATGTTCAAGGAGCCTGTTGAGATTCTACCCAACGTCAACTACACAGCATGTGCTACTCTAAAGGTACTGCACTGGGGCCTGTGGGTTCAAGAGACAAGGTGGGAGTAAGTGAGAGCAGGCTCTGTCGTTCAACAGGGCTCTTGCTCTATGATTTTCAAGGCCCTGATGTGTAAGCTGTGGCTGCCCCATCCCTGGCAGTGTTCAAGGCCAGGTTGGACACAGGGGCTTGGAGCAAGCTGCTCCAGTGGAAGGGGTCCCTGCCCGTGGCAGGGGTTGGAGCTGGAGGAGCTTTAAGGTCCCTTCCAACCCAGCCCATTCTGTGGTTCTCAAAGGTCTGCTCCCCTTTGCTGCATCGTGGTGTCAGGAGCACGTTCCCCCGCAGCACCCAGAGGTGGTTTTGAACTTGCCCCACGGTGAACAGGGCTGTGTTAGTGCTGAAGCACTGGGGTTGTTTCTGTGTTACAGACAAGCCGTCGGTGCTGCAGGTCTGTAAGCCAGGGCCTGCCTGCAGTGGCCTTAAGTCAATATTTAACTGTTGAGATCCGGTTCAATGTAGTGGCACGTTCTGAGCGAGATGAGAACTTTGCCCCAAATCCCTGGGGTGCAGGAGCCAGGTTAGAAGAGGGAGGTGCTGAGACCTCCCCGGCTGGGTGCTTTGGGCCAGGCTGTGAGGCCAAACCTCTCGGGTGCTCCTGCCTCATCTGTTGCGTCTTCTGCGCCCATCGCAGGGTCCAGATTCCCACTACGGCACCAAAGGACTGCGCAAGGTGATCCACGAATCGCCGACGACGGGAGCCAAGACCTGTTTCACGTTCTGCTACGCGGCTGGGAACAACAACGGCACCTCCGTGGAGGATGGACAAATCCCAGAGATCATCTTCTACACATAGTGCAGCTGCGGAGCTGGCGCCGGACTCCTCTCTCCTCTTCCCCGTGACCTTCCAAACTAAATTCCTGGCTGAGTTTGCCCACACCAATTGGAGCCACACTAGCCAAAGGTCTCAGTAAAATCATTTCAAAGCTCATGTTTTGCCTTGTGCTAGTGATTCTGCTGCTATCACGTACCAGACTAACTGGTACCCCAGTACCATTTGTAGGTGTCCGTGGCTAGTCATTCTTCACTTTCCTGGTTAACCCTATCTAACAACGTGCGTTTTTTGGACTGTAACGAATGTAGATGCTTTTCCACCGGTCAGAAGCATGGAAACGAGTGGCTCTGGTTGTGGTGAGACTTGCTGTGAGGAGATAACCCTGCAGAAAGACACGCTCGAGGGCTGGGTGGCCCCGTCCTCGTCCCGCCAGCCGCCGCACGCAGGACGTTTCGGGAAGTGGCTTTTTCCCCGAGGCTTCGCTGTTCCAGCACTACAGGGTCTTGAGGGAGACCTCAGAACTGGAGAGACTGCGGCCTCCTCGTGCTCCTCTCCCTGCTCTGTGACAATCCTTGCCCTTGGGGACGGTGAGTGGAGCTCCTGGCGGAGCAGGGACGGGGCTTGGCCCTGCCCTGGGTGCAGGCTGGGTCCTGGGGGCGCTTCCTCCCAGCTCCACAGCACGTTCCGAACAAGGGGTGAGCCTCGGACACCCCATGGTGCCCACAGTAATTGTTACTGTGCCGAGTCCTTCGCAGGTAGGGCCGGGTTTGTCGGTTGGAGCAGGGGAGCTGCCTGCCCTGCCCCTGTTTCTGTGATTGCTGCTGCTCTCATGCACGTTTCAATGCAGTTTCTCTCTGTTGCGAGCATGGTTAAACCTGCCCTGGGCCACGTCGGATGCGCAGCAGGCAGAGAGGCTCGATGTGCCACTGCCCCTTCGCTGGTAACACAGCAGAGGGACAGGGTTTTATGGAGCACTTGGGAAAACATTAAGGATTTTCTCTGCCTGTGTGTGCTTGCGCAGCCCAACGGCCTGGCCAGGCACAGGAGGAGGGGGCAGTTCCAGATGTTGCCTGGCCTTAGGCCCCAGAGCTTGGTCATCTCGAAGATGCCCCTTCTGAGCTGCTGTTTGTGGTTGTTTTCCCCCCCCATCAGGTACACCTGTGGCTGAGCAGGGCTGTGCTGTCCTGCTGGGAGGGAGGTGGGGGACTTGCCCTTGCCCTTGCCCAGCCTTGAGGACCACGAGGCTGTGCCCTCTGCTGCAGAAGGAGCTGTCACTGAAGTGTTGCTTCGCAGCACAGCCGGAGCCTTCCCAAGTCCACGTTGTGGGGCTGGTGCTGCCTTAGAGCTGAGGTTCCTCTTCACAAACCTCCCCCTTGGTTCCAGGCACGCGCTGTGGAGCTCAGCGGGCAGCAGTTACCCTGCATTGAGCTGCTCAAAGCTGAAACCTCCTTGTCCTTTGCTGGTAGGGACAGCTCGGTGCCTGTGTGCTCTCTGGGGCCGGCTCACCTCCTCCTGCTCCCCGTGGCCTGTGGCTGCCGGGTATCCATCTCCAGCAGCAGCACTGCCAGGAACACCCTGCTCCTCCTCTCCAGTAGCTCGTAGAGATGTCCGTAGTGGGTTAGGTTCTCTAGGAAGGCGTTGGGAGATGTGTCTCTCGTGGGCCTGCGCGAGGGTTTAGGATGGTTTTGATATGGCCAGTACTTAAAAAAAGAGAAGAAAACCAGATGGGTCCATGACTTCGTGATTGAACCTGCCTCTGTGCAATGCAAGCTTTGTGAGGTGCATTCATGGTCCGGGCACGCTCCTTGTCGAGAGGGAGGTGTCCTCTGGGATGCTCAACGCTGCTCCTTTTCCCAAGGGTGATGGGAACTTCACTGCTGGCACCCGAGAGCAGCGTCGGGGCCTTTTGTACCTCCGTGGCAATAGTGGGAATCGTTGGAATGTGGCAGCCTTGCTCTTCCCGGGAACAGCTGCAGGTTCTCTTCCCAAATCCCTCCTCCGGCCGTCGCCCATGAGGTAGGTGTGGTGGCTTGAGGTGGGGAGGAGCAAACTGAACGCCGCCACCCGAGCAGCTTCTGTTCTTAACGGCTTTTACGCAGCTCAATGCAATCCTGGCTTCTGTAGATAGGTGAATGTAATTCCGTGTTGGACATGCCCGTGCCCAGAAGTAGGAGACATCCTGTTGTACCACGTCACCTTCCGAGCGGAGCCGGGCCTGCCCCCGCTCCAGTGCTGTATTGATGAATGTATCGACGCTCTCGTTCCGTGTTCACACTCTGCTTTTGGCCAGCTTTGTGATTTGTAAATAGGAAATCAATAAAGACATTCGGGTTGTCTTTACGGGAGCGTTGGTTGTTATGAATTGAAGGGAGCAGATGGGGCATCAATGGAAAGGTGGAGGGGGCAACCACGACCTTCACCCCCACCAAGGGCACGGGGTCCTCGGCTTCCCCTCTGTGAGTGCTCTCCTATGAAGCATCCAAGAGTCTGGGCTGGAGGCTTTGTTGGGAGCATCCATGTACTGGGTGGGGAGAGTGGGACCTCAGCCTGGTCCCTCTGCGATGCGTTGGTGCTGTGCTCGAGGAAGCTGGAACTGCCCACCCTGGGCCCACCAGCTTCCCGGCTTTGAAATGGGAACAGCCAGCGGGAGCCATGGGGAGAGCCGGGTTGGGCAGGGAGATGCTGGAGCCTCGGTCTCCCCATCACATGAGAGAGAAACGAGGGGATGCATTTTCACCCTGCAGCAGGGCTGGGAGCTGGAGCCAGCCATGGAGGGGCTGAGGAACCCGCTGCTGGCCCAGGTCCCATGGGAAGGGGGTGCTGGGCCGGTGTCTCCCTGCCCGGCGCTGAGCAATGAAGCACAGAGGCACGGGTAGGGTTTGTTTTTTTTTTTTATTTGATTTTTTTAATGGTTTTTATTAAAAAAAAAAAAAAAAAAAAAGCCCCTAAATCCTATGGCTTCCAGGAAGCGTCAGAGACCCCGAAAACGCCGTTTTCTGTCCACTTTGTCTCAAAGCAGAAACTGAACTCGCGATGGACCGCGCGCCCTCAGTACCCCCGCAGTGCCGGGGGCTCCTCGCTGCAGGGCCCTGAGGCTCCTCCTGGGCTGCTCCGTCAGCATCCGCTCCCAGGCACAATTTAAGGCGATTTTGACAACTTCTTTGTCTGTTTCTTTGCCCCCTTGGGAAGTGAGGCCAAACCCTGCCCAGGGCTGGGGCTGCTCCCCCTCTGTGCCCTGGGAGAGGCCGAAACCAGGGTCAATCCCGAATTCAGGAAGAGGGGCCCTCCCCAGGGCCCCCATGTACAGCCAGGACAGGGGGACCCCAACCCCTGACTTGGGACCTCCCCCAGAGATGCTCAATTCGGACAAACATCTTGAAGCAGCCACGAATGGTCCCATCCCATCCCCTCCCATTCCACCCCCCCACCCCCCCCAAAGCCTCAGCCCCTCTCTTGGGGCAGAACAACAGGGTTTTGGTAAAGAGAAGTGTGCCCACCCCCCCACCCCCGGCAATGTGCCATGGTCAATACACAAACAGCGCACGGGTCCATCACGGGGGGAAGCTGCAGTGCCCTGGGGGTGATGAGGAACAGGGGGAGCGTGTGGGGTGTCCATGTGTGTGTCTGTGTGCATCCATGTGTGTCCGTGTGTGTGTCCGTGTATGTCCATGTGAAAGGTGGAAAAACTCCAGTTTCCCCCGGCCCGGTGCGGGCAGGACAGAGGCGAAGCCACGCGGCAGCTCCATCCACCCCAACGCCCTTCGCCATGGGCCACGCTTACCCTGTGCCTCCTCCATGGCACCCTGGGGCAGCCCCAGCCCGCAGACACGTGGCCAAGGCTCTGTAACACCAAAGAGGCCGAGACGACGCTGCCCCGCAGCCATGGCGGCCCCTACCAATAACCCAACGCTGGTGCCGAAGCGCACCCAGGCGCGCCGCGGCGCTGGGGCTGAGCCGGCTCCCGCTTCTCCTCCGCGCTCTGCTCACCGGTCCCTTTGGTGTCAGCCAGGCTGGTGCCCAACGTCCCGGCCCCGCGGCCCCCAGCCCCACAGGCCCTGCACTCGCCCGTGGGGCTCACAAAAGTGCATCGTGCCGTGGTTTGTAAACGCGGTTCCTGGCCCCGGCGCTTCTCACCGTACCGAGCGCTCGGGCCCCAGCGCGGAACCCACCGGGGGGGACACCCGGGAGCAGAAGAAGCAAGAGCAGGAGGGAGGAACGCTGCAGCTGACGGTCAAAGACTGAGGACTCCGCACTCGGCACCGAGACTCACTTTAAATTAACTTAAAGAGACAGAGAAGCAACAGAAAAAAAAAGGGGGAAAAAAAGGGAAAAAAAAGAAAAAACCCAGCTCTGCTCCTGCTGCGCCCGCGGCTCTCGCCCCGCGCCTGCGCCCGCCGGCAGCGCCGCCTCAGTCCGGAGCTGATCCCCGTGTGCGAGCGAGAGCCCCCGCGGCGCGGCCGGGGCTGCGATTCACGAAGTTTTTTTCTTTTCTTTTCTTTCTTTTTTTTTTTTTTTTTTTTTTCTTTTTTTTCTTCTTTTTTTCTTTCCTTTTTGCCGGGCGCAGGAAACGCAGCGGCTGCACCGGGGCCGCCCCCGGCCAGGGCAGAGCGGGGAGGCCCCGCTCCCCGCCTGGGGCGCTGGGGGAGCCCGGCCGGCTCGGACCCCCCCCTCCGGCCCCGGCCAAACCCAGGGGCCGCCACCGGCTCTGCGGGACAAGATCCAGCCCCGGCCGGAGGGAGAGGAGCCACCGCGGGCCCGGCCGCTCACTTGCGCCGCTTGGTGGTTTTCCTCTTCCTTCTCTTGAAGAAACAGCAGCACCTGGAGACAGGGGGGACATTGGGGACAGCGTCAGCGGCTGGGCCTGGACACGGTGGTCAGGGCAGAGCTGGCGGGGGACAGAAAACCCTCAATGAGCCCCGTGGGTGCAGAGAGCCAGGAGGTGACCCTGGAGCACCAGGGTTGTCACAGTGAGAGATGCTGGCCACAGCACACAACGCCAGCCACGGCGCTCCTCATGGGTTGCTTGCTCTGGACGGAACCTGACAGGGCAGCAGCTGAACCGTCCCCGTCCCCAATCCCAACCCCAACCCCACGAGCACCCCAGCCCCAGGGGCCAGGGGCTGTGCCCTTACTTTGTATCGTCTGTCACCTCCACCTCGGTGGGGGCTGTGATGGGCGCGTTCGAATGTCCTGCCGTGGGGTCATCCGTGTTCAGCTCTCCGTTGGTGGAGCTCATCACCTGGGGAGAGACGAGCGTCAGTGTGGGGCAGCCCATGGGGCGCAGGCTGGTCCTGAGCCTCATCCCCAGCCCCATGGCAGATACAGCCCCCCCCGGCCCTGCTGGGAGCAGGGAGCCCCCCACGCAGGCAGCAGGAAGGTGCTCAGCCCCGGTGCTGTGCGCCCCCAAGAGCCCCACGGCACAGAGGGGTCTGAGCCCTCTGTGTCTCCAGGACCCCATGAACCTACCAGGAGAGGGGCAGGCTGGCAGCTGGCTCCAACCTGCCCAGAGACACAGTCCTGAAGCTGTGCTAGCTCCAAGGAGCTGCCATGGTTGAGCATCCAGACACAGTTTTGCTCCCCAGCCCCAAGCCCCAAGAGTGCTGGGCCCCGTGGGACTCAGCCCAGTGCCCTGAGCTCCTGCCCGCTTGCCGGGGCAGCGGGGCCATGCGTGGTGCCAGGATGACCCCAAGTCACCAAAGCAAGGACAGGGCTGGCAAAGGCACCTGGGACTTGCTTGAATGCCCCCTCCTGTGCCCACTGCCCCCAGGCAAGGCCAGGGGCAAGCTGGGGATGCACCGGAGCATCACGGAGCTGGTGAGGAGGCTCAGCCCCTCCGCACTCATGGCCGAGCTGACAGCTGCAGTGCCCAGCCGGGGCACATCAAGCTACAACAGCACATCCAACCCCCCCAAATGAAGCCCAGAGACCCCCCTGCGTCACCAAGACCCACTGCAGCGCGGGCGCAGGCAGAGGATGGGGTGGGAGGGTGCAGAGCAAGAAGAGCAGGAGCAGATGCCGTGGTGGGGGGGGAAGCAGGGCAGAGCACAAGCTGGACCCACGGTCTGCCCTGGCAGCAGTGGGAGCCGGGCCCGTGCCTGGCACCGAGCACCAACAGAGCCCCACTGGAGCAGCAGGAACGAGCAGCAGCGTCAAGGGAGGAAGCAGAGACGAAGGAAGCAGCTGGGGGGGGGACCCAGCACGGAGCCCCATGGGCTGGACCTCACCAGCCCGAGAGGGGCCGAGTGGCGGCGGCGAGCACGGGGCTGACGGCGCGAGTGCAGGACCGAGGCGGGGAGATGAGGACGAGGAGCGCCCAGGGCAAGGGAGGAGAAGCCGGGCCTGAAGCCATCGCTCCCACCACGGAGGCCCAGGGAAGTCCCCAGGTGGGATGAGCCCACGATGTCCGGCACTGCTGGCAGGCAGAGCCTGATGCCCACCCTGCTGCTCGCGCCGCTTCATCCACCTCTAACCACACAAGGGAGCCCTGGCAAGCAGCGCCAGCCTCGGGGCCAGGGTAGCCCATGGTGCAGCCCATGGTTGCAGCCCATGGTGCAGCCCATGGTGCAGCCCATGGTGCAGCCCATGGTTGCAGCCCACGGTGCAGCCCATGGTGCAGCCCATGGTTGCAGCCCACGGTGCAGCCCATGGTGCAGCCCATGGTTGCAGCCCACGGTGCAGCCCAGGCCAGGCCTCGGGCACGTGTGGCTGCTCCCCTGGCAGGGCCGGCAGCCACGAGGCACAGGTTGGGCTCTGCTCCCCCCCCCCAACCCCGTGCCCACCCCTGCCCTCGGCGCGTGGTGCATGTACCTGGACGGACCCCCCGAGCCTGCCGGCTGCCAGGTGAGCTCCCAAAGGCTCCTCGGCAGGCTGCCCACCGGCCTGAGGATCCCACACCTCCGTCCCCTCGGGCGGCTGCTTGCGCCAGGCAGGAGGAACAGGATGAAAAGAAACGAAAAGAAAAGAAAAGAGGAAGAATGGGGGAAGAGAAGGGAGAGGCGGAGGGAGGAGGGCAGGAGAAGAGTGGCAAAGGGAGTCGAGAAAAATAAGACATGCAAAAGCAAAAACGTGACCGGAGCAGCTCGAGTTTGGGGAGGGCACTCCCGGAACAGTCCCTGCGGTGACACTGGGGGTCTGCAGCCCCCCTGCCACGTCCACACACACACACGCACCCCCCAGCAATGGGGCTGGGCTCTGTGTGGGTCCTCTCCACGCCAGGGAGGGCAAACAGCCCTCAGGGCACAGCCAGCGCCACGCAGAGCTGCAGGGGGGGTGCAGCCAGGCCGAGGTGGCACCGGCTGCTCCCCTGCAACCGCAACATCCAGGGGCCAAAGCTCTGCTCC